TCTTTCTTTGTAGCTATTCTATGGTCCATATTATTATAATTAGTTTTTAGTTTTGTATACATGTATGTCTTTCCATTGGTTTATGCTCCACTATCTCCCCTTTCACTGCCCATATAATCTTTTGTTTTAACAATGAACATTTGAATATAGAGTGAACACACAACTTGGTGTGACTCTTTATTCCCAAGTAGTTGTACTTGAAGCTGACAGCATAATCGAATCCTGGGGAAACCTTAAAGAGAAAGTCCTACCAGGTTCAAGTCCGCTCAGTGTAACTTTCCTGAGGAACCCTAAGGCTGGGTTCACACCTAGGCGTATCGAATATGCACGTTTGTCGAGCGTTTTTACCACATTTCACGGTTAAAAAAATGCGTAACAAACGCACGTTTCCGAGGGCTACCTGGCTGTATACCAATGGATACACGCGGCAAATACGCCCTAAAAAAGCATAGGGGGTTTTGCAGCACGTTCCTACGCGCTGTAAAACGCCCAGGTGGGGTCCATGCCTATAGGCAATCATTGGTTTTCCCATGTTGAGCGTTTTACGCGCTATAAAACGGCCAGGTGTGAACCAGGACTAACACTCACCAGGCAGTTTGGACGAATCTCCTGGATGAAAAGATTATTATTAATTTGTATGAATTAAGCAACTTTGTATGAATTAAGAGGCTGCCTTTGACCCACTGGTACTCAATTTGCCAGCGTTCCCCCAACACTCCTTCCTTCATCGCACTAAATATCCCAGTGTTGGATGTTATCAAACACTGTCAGATGTTTCAACCATACCATGAAGCATTGAATATCGCCATCGGCTGTGATGGAGGAGAGAGAAGTGGAGGAGTGCTGGCAAGGTGAGTATAAGAAACTCAGGGAGCCCTTTGCAAAGACATTGGGGTCTATTCACGAAGCTGCCGAAAGATCTGGCCGTAGCTTCGGCCGATCCTTCGGCTAGCTTCGGCCCCAGGACCCCTTTGGTTCAGTAGAACAGAAGGGGTGCTGTACGGGCTATTCACAATAGCCCGTACAGCTCCCGAACATGGCCGAGCGGCTCAGTCGAGCCGAACACATATGCATCTGCAAGCCCCAAACCCTCTGCCATAAAAATTGTTGCGTTTTTCCTTTTTAGTTTGTTTAATTTTTTTTAAAGCAGAACTCCGGGGAATATTTTTCTTAATCCTTGCAGTGGGGCTCCGCAAGGGTTAAGTGATCGTTTTGTCTAGGTTAAAAAATGACTAAGTTATATTCACCCAATCCTTGGAGCCGATGTTCTATCCAAAGCTCCAACTAATTGAGATCTCCAACTATCTCACTTCCGGTACTCAGAAAGACTGGAGCTCTGTACAGTCGCGGTGCGCAAGCGCGCATAGCGTTTTAAAAATACTCGTCGAGTTTTCCACCTGCTGAATATTGCTAAAATGCAACTGTACAGAGCTCCGTCAGTCTTTGTGTTTTGCAGTCTAACGCCGTCTGGTCGAAATCTCCAACTTGCAAGTACCCGGCAGTGAGGTAGTTGGAGATTTCGATGAGTTGGAGCTTTCGAACACCGGCTTGCTCTTAGACGTCTCTTCCACCTATCTTCTACTCCATGTTATGACCCTTTGCGTCCTCACGTCATAGTTACATAGTTACATAGTTACATAGTATTTGAGGTTGAATAAAGACATATGTCCATCATTCCAACCCATTGTGTGTGTGTGTGGGTGTAAAGATCCTCGCGTCATCTCGTTTTTAGGAGTACTTGTACCCCTGTATATTACCGTTTCTCAGGAAATCGTCCAAAAGCCTCTTGAATGATTCCAGACTTTTAGCTGAAATCACTGCTTGCGGCAGTGAGTTCCAGACCCTAACCGCGCGAACTGAGAAGAATCCCCTTCGCCCCTTGTGTTTGAATTTTTTTTCTACCAGTTTTAGGTGGTGTCCTCTAGTCTTTGTTACGGAATTAATCGTGAAGAGTTTATTGCTAATGTTGCTATGACTATGGAACATTTTGTATGTGAAAATCATGTCCCCCCTTAATCTCCTAAGTTCCAGCGTGAACATATTTAAATTTAGTAACCGTGCCTCATAGCTCTTGTCCTCCATCCCTTTGATGAGTTTGGTCGCCCTTCGCTGGACTTTCTCGAGTTCAAGGACATCCCCTCTGTGTACCGGTGCCCAAAACTGCACCGCATACTCCAGGTGAGGCCGAACCAGTGATGTGTAGAGTGGCAATATTATAGACTTATCCCTGCAAAACATTCCCTTCTTGATGCAGGACAGGACTCTACTAGCTTTGCTTACCGCAACCTGGCACTGTAATCTATTATTGAGTTTATGGTCTACAGTGACGTCCTATACATATTGCGAGTCTTGGGACTTTAGACTGCTGCAGCGGAGGAGAGAGGTGGAAGGGAGTGGTCTGAGAGCAAGATGGAACGGAGGATGGGGTGAGTATAACTTTTTTTATTTTTGAACCTAGACAAGAACAAGCAATTTCATCTTTGCAGTGCAGGGGTAGCCCTACTGCAAGGGTTAAGACAAGTTCTGCTTTAAAAAAAGGTTTTCTTTTACTCCAGCCATACTTACCTAGGCAAGAATGAGTATGTTTTCTAGTGAGAACCCAGCACAAGAGGTAAGAGGGGATAGGTGGAAAAAAAGCCGGGGTGGCTAGACGTTCCTATTTAATGTTAAGGAGGGAGCTGGGGAGCTAATGTTTATCATAATTAACCCTGTCTGTACTGTGCTTGCAGATGTTATCAATTGTGAACTAGATTCGAACACCAAAGTTTAAAGATATCAGGGCATGTGTTCTGCTTTGTATGTTAATAAGAGGAATATGAGTCTGTCCCTACTTTCCCTACTGTCCCCCTCCACTTTTACTTTAAATTCTTCAGAGTATCTTTAGGATTTTCTGCCCAAAAGCCTGCTCCAAAGAAACAACCAGAAAGGTAAGAATTATTATTTAATATATATATATTTTTAGGTATGCTGTATGAATAGGAACACATAACTGGGGAATCTATCAAAACTGAAGCAGAAAAAAAATCTGGAGCAGTTGCCCATGGCAACCAATCAGCTTCTCTTTTCAGTTTGTTCAGTTAAGATTTGAAAACGAAAGAGAGAAGCTGATTGGTTGCCATGTACAGCTGCTCCAGATTTTGTCTGCTCCCGTTTTTATGAATTTCCCTCTTATTTTTTTCTTTTTCAAATGTTACTGCAAAAGAGGAAATACACTTTAAGAAGTCAATGCCCCCTCAGGGTCCATTCACATCAGCCGCTGCACAAAACACACGGCGGCTGGTGTGCGGTGCCCAACACACTGCCGATGCATCAATCCTGGCACATCACATTGTATACTTTTTTTTTTTTTAGAACTTTATTGAAATGTCAGGGTGCATCCTGCTGCAATGAAAAAAGTAAGGCATGCTGTACTTTTTTTCAGTGCACACCACTGCGTTCCCATCACAATGTGGTGGTATGAACTGTGCCCATCCATGACAAGGCAAATTGCCTTGTCTTGCATTGGGGCTGCTCTGGAAACATTGGCCAGTGCAGCCCCAACGCATGTGGTGTGAATGGATCCTTAAAGTAATACTTCAGTTGTAGGTGGGGACAGATGTAACAACCACTACTTAATTTCATGTTTCGTGTGGACTCCAGTGCTGACATCTCTCTGCTATAGTTTTTGAATCTGTTGTCACCTACCTTTGAGTGTTTTAAGTTCAAAAACAAATAAATACTTTTAAAATACAAAAGGAAGCATGGCGTCCCCCTTTGTAATGGCTATAGAAGGTGTGCAAAGAGCTCCCCACTGGGATCTCTGACAGCTATGGGAAATCACTAACACAGCATCTCCCTTCTACAACAAGGCAAGCTACAGCTTAAAGTGGAACTCCTTGTAGAACCTAAATTAACCCCTAAATTAACCCCTTACTACGCCTACACTGCAAGGGCCCTCATCTCCAATACACTGTATAGAACATGACGACTCAGTGGACTTTAGACCGCCGGAGCGGAGGGGGAGAGAGGCTGCAAGGAGCGGTCTAGCAGCCAGGTGGGATCGCGGTTCAGGTGAGTATATCTTTTTTCTTTAAGCTCAATAGACAAAATGAGCACCTAAGTCAACTGCAAATGTTAATTTTGTTTCTGTCTGGGGTTCTTCTTTAAAGTGTAAGTATAGTCAAAACTTTTTTTTTGCTTTGGAAAAGTAGGGGAGGGTTAAGACCCCCTGCTAGTTTTTTTGTAAGTGTCTGTGTCCCATTGGATTTCCCTTACTTCCTCTCCCAAGTAAGAGGAAATCTCTCCAAAGTGTCGCCATTGGAGAAATTCCCCTCACCTCCATTGCCTGCGACAACCCATAACTTCTGGGTTTCCCCTCACTTTTGGGACTGTAGACAATAGACACCAGGACAAAAAAGAAAGTGAATCTTCCCCAGCAGGGTCACAGAAACCAAAAAAACCTGAAAGTGGTTTAACTCTTCAATGTTTAAATGTTTTGGCTCTACATCCACTTCTTTTTACTCTTTCTGTACTGAGAGTTGCAGCATCTTTCCAAATGTTCTTGTCCCTTGTACAGTCCTTAGGGTTAAAATATTTCACTTTTTATAGATATACTAACCTTGACTACACAGATACAAATTCATTGGAAATCCTTTCTTCAAAACCTATTGTGCAACTGTGAAGCAGACCTCTTCAGCTTCACTGGAAGTGACAGCACTGCCTTTGATCCAATATTAGTCAGGGAATTGCAGCTCACATCTGTGGCTTTATTTCCTGACAGAGCCCAGTAAATACACCAGCTCAGCCCTAATGTATCTAAAAGTCTGATAGTTATTTACAAATGTTGACAACTGTTGAAATCAAATTTGTTGCAATGGTTACATGTCCTAAAATCTAGGAGATTGCAGTCGGTTACTGTACTTTGCACATCATCACCAGCATTTACACTAAGCCTGTGGAGTCTTGCAAACTCTCTTTGTTGTTGGTTGCACTCCATGCTCCCCTTACAATGTGGCACTTACTTGTCCAGGATGAAGTACAGATCAAATGCCCCATCACAAGACCTCTGCTCCTCGGTGTACTGAGCCTGGCATAGGAGGGGTAGTAGGGGCACAACAAGAGCTAGCAGCTGGATGCCTGTCTTCATGGCCCAGAGCTTGTCCTGAGTCTTCCCAGCGAGGACTGATGGAAGGAGGGGGAGGATAGGGGGCAGCTGCAGCCAGGGTGGGATAGAGAGAGGGATGGAGGAGGAAGAGGATATGGGGAGGAGGAGAGGAATGTCTATGTAGCTCAAACCTCAAGGGGAGGAGAGGTTGTTAACTCATTCACTGCACATTGCTAGGAGGATTTCAGGACGTTTTAGCAATTTGAGCTATGTTCTTAACTGGGAGAAAGATGTAAATAACATAAAGTAAAAGAACACAAAAAATAAATATTATGAACATTGAATTATTAAACTGCCCATTAAAACAATAAAAAAAAATGATGATTAGAACTTTTATTCATTAAAAGGCCAACTAAAAGTTAAAAAAATAAACATTAAAAATGCTGAGTAGAATTTGTATTCACTAAACAGCTGACTAAAAATCATAAAGTACAGTAGAATGAAAAAAATAAAATGGTGATTATAAGTTTTATTCACTGTAAGGCCAACTAAAAATTAAATACTAAAGTATAAAAATGGTGATTAATAGTGATGAGCCGAACACTCCAATGTTCGGTTCGAATTCGAACTTTCGAACATGGGAAAAGTTTGAATTCGAACTTGAACTCAATGCAAGTCTATTGGGGTAGAATTTTGAAAATCAAATGTCCCCATTTTGAAGCCTTATGTGTAATTTACTGGCCATAAAAAGTGTATGGGGATCTGGGTACTGCCCTGAGGGACAGGAATCAATGAAAAAAAAACTTTTAAAAATACAGTTTTTAAAGGAGCAGTGATTTTAACATCACTTAAAGGGTAAGAATAAAAATGAAAAATTCCTTTAAGTATCGTGCCTGGGGAGTCCAGTTAAACTGCCTGTAAAGTGGCGCATCTGTACAATGTATAGAACCTGCTGCAGCAAAAATAGCAAATCTAAATTAAAAAAATGACTTTTTTTTTTTTTTAAAGCATGCAGTTCCCCCTCCCAAACAACACCAGACCCTTTAGGTCTAGTAAGAATGTTAGGAAGGACCCCATTTTTTTTTAAAAAAAGCATGGGGTTTTCCTCAAAGTCATACCAGGCCCTTAAGGTCTGGTAGGAATTTTAGGAGAGAGCCCATGTTAAAAAAAGTGTGTGGGGTTCCCCCATAAAGTCATACCAGGCCCTCAAGGTCTGGTAGGAATTTTAAGCAGGAACCCCACCCCAAAAAATGGGGGGGGGGAAACGTGGGGTCCCCCCTAAAATTCCATACCAGACCCTTGATCCGAGCACAGGGCTGGCAGGGCAGGAAAAGGGGGGGGCCAGAGAGAGCCCGCCCCCCTCCCCCCTGCGATACCAGGCCACAGGCCCTCGGCACTGGGAGAGTGTTTTTCCAGGGCCGGCCCTGGAAAAGCACCTTGGGGGATGGGGACAAGGGCCTCTTCCCCACAAGCCCCCAGTGCGTTGTTTGTGGGGGTGCGGGCAGGGGGCTTATTCACTAAGAAAGTCCCCTCTTACTGGGGGGTGACAGCCTGTCACCCCCGGGGCCTCTCCAGCGAGAACGCGGCCTTCGTTCGGTACCCAGCCGGAGCCGTCTGGCCGGATAATCAGGAAGCCGGGCGCCGTGTAATGATAACAGGCTGCACATACTAAGGTAAGGTAACCTTACCTCACGAGGCCAGCTTCCTGATTGGCCAGCTTCCCGACCAATCAGGAAGCCAGGCAGCGCGTCATTACACACTGCCCAGCTTCCTGATTGGCCGGGAGGTCGGCTCCATGCTCTCTCATCACAAGTGACAAGAGAGCGTGGAGCCGCTTCCCGGTCAATCGCGAAAACCGGGCAGCGTGTAATGACACGCTGCCCGGCTTCCTGATACCGGAAGTACTCATGCTAGGCATCGGAGCATTTGGGCGAGTACGAGTACGTGCCCAAATACTCGGAATCGGCACCAATATCGATACTAGTATCGGTATCGGTGGATCCCTACTTACAACCATCGCAAAACTGTTGTCTTGCGATGGTTGTAAGGTAATTAAAAAAACGTACGATCTGCCTATCTTGGACAGGCAGATCGTACTTGTGATGATCGCAAGCCCGACCCGCTGAGGGGCGGGCTTCCGATTACCTCAATGCTGGAGGGCAGTGTGCGCTTGCGCACACCGGCCCGTGCGGCTTTTATCTTGCGAACATACCACAAACCAGCCGAACATTGTACGATGTTCGGCTGGTTTTCGAACATGTTCCTAAGGTAAAAGTCGTGCGACCTTACAGTAGCAGAGGTCGCACGGCTCCCACACAACTTACGATAATAATACGATCGAAGGATTTCCCGCGATTATCGTACGATTATCGTAAGGTGTGTGGGTACCTTTACTGACCAAACTGAAGAGAGAAGCTGATTGGTTGTCCTGGACAACTGCTCCAGTTTTGATAAATTCCCCCCAATGTCTCTTTTGAATCAGTTATGTGTCCATATATGTTGTGCAGTCCAGTTCACCAGTGCACCCTTCTTTTCACAATAGCGATCTCAGTGACCTTCACTGCAATAACCTTTAAGAGTGCCGCTCACATCTTCATCTTAGAAGTTTTCATATTGAGGTTTGAAGATAGATCTTCAAACCTCAATATGAAGGTCTTACTGCGCCTTTCCCTTTAGACACATAACTGATTCAAAAGGAGACATTAGTTTTTCTGCTTATATGTTCTGATATTTTGTGTATTGCTGATATTGCTGCCTTGACACAGTTAAAATAGTGGTCACATGTGGATATTCATTGTTTATCACTTATATATATTTAGCACATTGTTTTCTTCTTAATTTTTTCATCATTGTGGGACTTGGAGTCATTTTTAGCTTTAAGAGCAGCACTTTTTCATTTAATTGGTTATTAAGAGTTGATACATAATTTTAACCACTTGAAGTCCGCGTTGTTAAACCCCCTTCCCATCCAGGCCATTTTTCAGTATTCAGCACTGCGGAACTTTGACTGACATTTATTATGTCATGCAACGCTGTACTGAAATACCATTTTTTTGGGGACAGATAGAGCTTTCTTTTGGTGGTATTTAATCTCCACTGGGAAAAATTATGGGGGAAAAAAACAGTTTCCCCTATATTGGCACAATAGGTTGTGTGTATGTAGGGGGGGTGGGGGACTGTTTTTATGTATGACAATTTTTTTAGCTTCTTTATTTTTTTTATGCTTTCATTTTTTTTAAACTTTTTTTTTTTACACTTAACTTTATTGAAGAAGTCCCCTATTTCCTGACACTTTATGGCAACATAAAATGGTCCTGTATGCTGTCATGTATTGGCGTCAGGAAAGGAAAATTACCGATAGGTAAATATACAATTTTCCTGACACCTGCATTCGGCTATTCACTCACTGCTGTTCGGCGCCTATGAGAATAGGCTGAACAGCAGCGAGTAGCCTGCCGGAGGTTCGGCTCAGCCGATCCAGATGTTGGATCGGCTGAGTTGAACTCCTTGTGCACTTCGGGTCAGCCGAACATGCTGAGCATGTTCGGCCGACCCGAAGCCAGCTGAAGCAAGCCAATGTATGGCTGAAATCAGCCATACAAGCTTGAAGTGAATAGCCTAACAGCGTTCGCCTCACTTCACCTGGGTTATTCACTCGGCTGCCTTCGGCAGCTTTGTGAATATCCTCCAAAAAAGAGTTTTTGATATTTTCAGGTAAATCACTTTTTCTTGTCTTCTCTTAAGTATTGTATTTTAGGTCATTTTTGTATGTTTAATTTTTTTTATCATTACCATGGTCATTTCTTTTTATTATTGTGCTATCGTCGTCAAAAAAATACATTCAAAACAGCCATAAAAATTGGCTTTAAAACATCATGGCAGGTAAGCAAACTTGAATCCAAATAGCACCAGTATTTTTTGTTAGAACATATTTACACTTGTTCTTGAATATGTTTATTAAAGGGGTGTCCTTTGATTAGCATATAACTAAAGTTTAAGCAACTTTACATTAAAAAAAACTTTTTTTTTAACACAATTAGTTCCTGTTTAACCCCTTTAATCATGAGTTACCCTAATCGGTCCTAATAAACTCCTTTTTTTGTCTTCTCTTAAGTATTGTATTTTAGGTAATTTTTGTATGTTTCATTTTTCTTTATCATTACCTTAGTCATTTCTTTTTTATTTTTTTATATACACTTTATTTCATTTGTCAATAACTTCTCCATTCCTTGTACCAGAAACATACAATTTATATTTATTTCTTTATGGCAATTTATTTCTATTTTTATGTGGAACTGGATTGCAAATAAATAAGCAATGTGTAACAAAAGAATCCTTTATTTAATTTGTAAATAACTTCTCCATTCCTTGTACCAGAACTGTAAATTAAGAATCTTTTATGAAGTAGACAAGTTATAGAATAAATTATTCACTTTTAATGTATAGTAACGTTTGTTTTTTTTAAACTTTGGCTTGTCAAACTAGAAAATAGCTTTTTGTATTACATCTTTTACCTGTAGATTGCACAGCAAATAAAAAATAGTTTTTACAAAACGCACAAAATATACAATATATTTCTTCTCTAATAACATAGTTAGCACCAAATCACTAGGCCCATAGCTGAAATGTAAATATTGTTCTGGTTCACAAGGGTAAACAAGTGAGAGAGCTGTAGTGGGTAAAAGTCATGCATACAGTATAACCTAATTTGGCATCTGTTGGGAATGTACATAGCTGCTAGCATTTTTGTACTGTATGTGCATAGGTGTCCCATGCTGGCCATGTGCATATTATTTTTTAAATTTGATTTAACTAATTGTTTTCTTTACTTTACTTTCCTTAAAGCTGACACTGGAATAAACAATCTATCATCATTCACCAAGACATTAAACATTTTCCAACCCAAGTAAATGTTTTGCTTTTTAGTTTAATGCAGTTTAATGCCATAAACTTGTTTGAACAAAAATAAATAGTGTTTTCTCAGGTTCCATTTAAATTTCAAAACAAGCAATTCAATGAACAATCAGATCAAAATGTATTTGGCTAGCATTAGAGGACCAACATGGGAGGTTATGTACACATGTTTTTTCAGCAATTAAATTATGCTTATTTATCGGTAGGATAGAAAAGGGAAAAC